CGCATATATATATATATTACATATGGGTCTATTATAATAACATATATATATATATATATAAACCTGAAAGACCTAATATTATTATCAGCATCTATATTATGAAACTGTTTGCCCTAGCTGTATGACTGACACACTGATTGATTGATGAAATGGAGAATGTGCTAAAGGGCTAGGTTTTATAAGCGTAAGCTCAGACTTGTTTACAAAATGTCAAAAATGTCGGGAGGATTTACAATTTCCTCAGAGTGGGCTGAAAAGTTATGTCTAAAATTAGAAGAAAATAACTGGGGAGAATCTAGCTATTATTGTGCAAGATAGCAGTGCAGTCCGCAGAAATTCTGCCTTACTGAGGATCAGTATCTAGTTACTGCAGAAGTAGAAAATTTATTGAGTTGATAAGCGGCAGATGCCCAAAAAAATTGGGGATGCCATCCCTTACCCTTAGAAAGAATTAGTGGAGTTATGTTATCATACTTGTCAACGTTTCCGTTTTTTAGTTGCCCGGAGCTGTGGAAATGCATTTCCCAATTTCCTGCAAAACCACTTACTAACCTTGGGCTCTTTCTAGTTGATAGAAGGTAGACGGCCTAATAAAGAGTTTTTATAGTTTCCTGTGGCTTTTTGCTTGTCTGATACCCACAGTTCGGAATTTTCTCAAAGAACTTAACACATCAACTGATATCCACAGCATTTAGCTTAACCCATTAAAACTTGCAAGGTGATAGCCATATGTGCATATATCATCCATACTTAGATCTATCTTAAAGACTTTTTGCCTAAATTTTGAATACTAGCTGAGAGCGAAAGACATAACATATCAGCGTCAAAGGAGGCCGGATTGATCGATTCCAGCTGACGGGTTCCATTCCTGTCCACAATGAACACATCAAAGTTGCGCAAATTGATGATCAAACGCTTCTGGATCTCGGCCACGCACATTTTCAATATATCGTAGGCCTGGGTCGGTTTAAGCCCCTCTGTCCAATACCGCTGGAAAATGCTGCCGCAGAACAGGCTGCCCAGCCCGTGGCCAGCATGATTAATGGGCATTGCGGCGCCATAAGAGTCTATATAATGCAAATCGGGTCCCTCGATGACATCGTAGCCAGCCATTAGCATCGATACCTGGTATCTGGTATTTGTTCTTATATAGTCCGCAAGATTCTTGCGCGTGAAGTGCGCTGTGCCGCGTGGAGTCAAATGATAGTTATTGGATATCTTATATAGTTGCAAGTGCTTGGCTATATAATCAGTAAACTGTAGCGTATCGCCGCCATCACCCACCGCGGCTAGCATTGAGAACTCGGAGAGGCGATGAATTTTTGACTGATCTGTTTGAACATTATTTAATGATAAACTTCATTCATATATATATATATGTGCTGAGAGTGCTTTGGTTTACCATCTTTCATAAAGATCACAGACTTTGCCTGCATTGTATCACAAGCAAGCATCACAAAATCCGAACCCTTTATGCCCAAAATCGTTTCCATTGCCATTGTGAAGATTAATTTTGATATTTGCCTCCAAAGAAAAGAAAATAGTTTGAGCTACAAATTTAATTCGTAAATTTGAATGAAATCATATTGATAACTCGATGCAGTTAATCTCATAAAAGCTTCAAATGAATTCGATGTTAAAAAATGGGCTTTTTGGGGTTAATTTGGACATAATTTAAATTTAATGGCAGTGTCTCACAAAAAGGAATAAAATACGGCAGAGAGAAAGGCAGAGAGAGAGAGGTAGAGAGAGAAATATAAGGGAAAGAGGAAGAAAGAGGGAGAAAGAGTAAAGGAAAGCAGAGTAATAGAGTTTAAAATAAAGTTCATTTTTCAATATTTTACTTTCATATGCAAACACTTAACATTGATTTGATCCCATTAAATATTATGTGGCATATTTAACGTCTATTTAAAAAGAAAATAATCAAATGCCAATTTATTTTTTGCTCGTATTGTTTTCTAGATATTAAGTAAAGCTTTTAAAGTAGCAACATAAAATTGTATGCTGAAAAGATATTAAAGCTCCAATTAATCTTTCCGGAACACCTAAAACGTTTTTCGAAAAGCTTTTATATATATATTATATGATTTTAAAGCTGTCTTGATAGCTCCTCTTTATCGGTCCCGTTGTCTGCGAGCAGAGTACAGAAGGAATAGGCCGCCTTACAGTTGGCTAGAAAGGTGGTTAGCGCAATTGGTATAAAGTTGCCTGCACGTTGTTTTGGCAGCCTCTGAGTTCGCTCTACAAAGATAATCAGATTCTTTCGGTAGGTGATGCTCTGGTCGACCCAGTTGCTGCTGTATGCCGCAAAGTGCAAACGTCCAAATGAATATTCCACCAGGGTGCCATAATAGCAAACAGGAAATATTTGCATGGCCAGCGCAAAAATAAAGGACGCATAGTATAGACGCTCCTGCATGCTCTCCACATAGAAGAGCAGGGCGCACAAGGCGGCGCCCACATCAATGGAAATCACAATAAACTGGACCAGTAATGGCCACGAGATGACCTCCATGGCGAGCAGGTGCAACCTGCCAGTTAGCGCAAAAATGTACAACTGCTTTAGTAAACAACAATTGAGCGACTTACCTACAGATTATTTGATGATCCCGAATGCATTTGATGAGCTCCTGCTCGTTGCTGCGCCGATCACTTTGGTCGTAGCCAATAGCTGAGAGGCGCAGGACGAGCTGATCGCAGTGACCAGCAATGAGAATAAACACTAAAGGCGGAAATAAATCATCTACAAAGTTTTGCAGGATTTGCATGGATATCGCGAGAAACTGATGCATCAGAGCAATGAAGTAATTGGTCAGCGAATTGGTCCAGTCCAATGGAAACCAGGCCGGAAAGGGCAAAGAGCGTTGCTCGCGAAAAAAAACGGCTACATTCGAGTTAATGCCAGTCGCACCATAACTCAACTTATACAATGTGGATATAATGCTCAACATTCGGCTCGTCTGCGCATGGTGGACACGCTGATCGTTCGTGCTCACGCGTGTGTCCAATTTAGCCAACAGCCGCTCAATCTCCGGAATTTTTCTCAGCTGCCTGACATAGATCAGGAACTTCACAGAGGTGGCCACCGAAGTGAGCGAAATGTTAAAGTTCATCAGATTATCCAGCGGCAGCTCAAAGCTAAGCGTTGTCAAAATAAGCATCACCGGGAAAGCTGCTGTGACGATAGCATTTAAGGCCACGGCTCTCCAGAAACGATAGCTGCCTAGACTTCTGGCATTCAGCTCAACTGCGCCTAACAATCGCCACGCCCACCAAATAATGCCGAAGTAGACGCTTCGTCTGTTTCCGTTGACTGACATAACTTGTGCGTTGTCCTTTTGAGCCAAATCTAAGACCAATGGGAACCAAACTAGCGGCTTTTATACCTGGACAACTGTGTGGACAGCATTTAAGGCTAATTCGTACAATTATCGACATCAAAGACAAGCGTTGCGACGTTTAATTGCGAAAAGCCTTCGTATACCCTGTCAGAGGGTATTACAGTACAGCTTTGTAACATGCACGCTTCACTTTGGGTTCATTAGCAGAAACATTTTATTTATAATTGCCCGATCTACTGAAAATGTTGCACTCCATAAATATTTTTATAAAGATTCGGGCTATCAAGAGGTCCATCTGCCAAATATGGTTAGATAAGTCCATTTTCTTGAAGACAAGTCCACATCAAAAGTTTTTTATTATGAATCCAACCAAGTTTGATGACTGATTTAATATAAACTAAATTGAGTTATTGTTTAGTTTATAAGAATAATTAAATTGGAATTCCGGGGCGAATAGGTTCTATGAACGTTTTGGCACTTAAATACATAAACAAATGTTTCGATCAGTAAGCAATTTACAATCGGCAGGCTCGAAACAGACAAGAGCACGCCCAAAGCTTGCGGAAATGCAAATTTAAAAGTCGTATAAGAATAACATATTGAAAACTGTAAATATTTAGGGTATTTATATCTGCGGCGCCATGAAATCAAAGACATAGATAGATATATATATATAATTTAATTGTGAAATTAATTCCATATGGCACAGTTCAGCCAAAGTTAAATGATACCGACTTCTAGATAGAGGTGGCGGTCAATCAATTTCAAAGACTTTTTGGAGCAGTCTTTAAAGCAAGTATTATATTAAACTTTCTTCTTTTATTTCTGGTTTCGAAACAGACTTTGGCACTTGCTGATTGCCTATTGCTAAAGTAGTAAGTAGAGGCATAGGAGCACCTATTGCCATTGGACCGAATGGCGGCAGCTTGCGAACTCCGTCCTTGTCGACTACAAAGACATCAAAGTTGCGCAGATTGATGACCAATCGGTTTTGAATCTCCACGACACACCTGCGAACTATGTCGACTCCCTCTTGGAAAGTCAGATCTGGTTTCCACATCATATGAAAGATGCTTGTGCATATCGGATGTCCCAGTCCATGCCCGGAGTAGTTGAGTGGCATAGTGGTGCCTTGGGCATCTATAAAACACAAGCTCGGTCCGAATTCGGAATCATAGCCGGCCAGCAGCATGGCAACCTGAGAGCTTACTTTATTACGTATATTGTCAAGGATATGGTTGCGTGTGAAGTGAACAACTGTTGGCGTGTCCATGTCGTAGCCATTTCTGATTTCATAGAGTGAAATATTTGTTGCTATGAAATCGGCAAAGTGCAAGGTGTCGCCGTTATTGCCAACAACCGCCATCATGCTATTGCTCGAAATGGGGCGTATTTTTGTATTGTCTGCAAGGAACAACCGCTGCTTAACTGCTCAGCACCCTGCAACCAGGTAAGGTATACTTACTGTCCTTTAAAAAAAATATAGATTTTGCCAGCATTGTGTCGGAAGCAAGCATAACAAAATCCTTTCCCTTCAATCCCAGGACTGTTTCCATTTTGCTTGGATATTAAAGTAAAAAAATATAAAAATATAAAATAAACGGGATTTGAGCAAAAGTTTATACGATATGCAGCTCGGAGTAAATTGATGGCTTAAACAAAAACTACTTGAGGTACTCAGAAATAAAAATCGGATAACTATTGATCTGGGAATATATTTGACCAGCTATAACATAAGGTATTTATATATTATTATTATTATTATTATTTTACTCAGTCCTTAAGTTATAGAGCTTTGTCCAGCCTAAATATTATATCTGGTCGATATACTCTGTTACATGAACAATATATTCTATAACCAGGCTCAATATTTTGTAGTATTTGCTGGACTAAGTAAGAATTCACCATTTCCTTAAAACATGAAAGATATTTGCCTTGATGCGACACAGTATAAGAACGATACCCTTTTGATTGGTTACGAAATAATTATTTCTAATATATTTACACAATATGAACTTGAATAAGATGGATTAATATCGATATGAGTATGGCTACACCTGATGGGTTGAATTAAAACCAAGTTGATTGCACATAAAGCTTACAATTTAAGCTAGATAATCCCACCCAGCTCTATCGTAATGTTCGTCGCCTGCGGCAATTGCGATTGCCGCCTGTCGCGAAACTGCATTCGTTGCCGGGGAGGGTAACGAGTGGCTCGTTCTGAAAAAAATGCAGGGGGAGGGTACTTAAAAAGCACTTTCATTTCACAATAATTTTCAGCTTTTCCGCACTTGAACACGCTTTCAGTCATTCGGTATTCGGCGGCATTGGGTTTTGGTGTTTCATTATTCGGGCGCTGCATTTTACTGTCTCTATTGTTTGAGATTTTAATGTGATGGTAATGCGCGCATTTCTGTATAATTATCACATCCATTTTTGAAATGGAAATATATTTCCGCAATTAAGAGCATATTTTCTAGGACTCTTGAAATAATAATGACGTCCGATTTCTTTGTTGTTGCCTTTTCAATCAGTATAAAATAATTTGCGCTGCAATTGAACGCCAGCACAAAGCCGCAGATGAGAACCAAACAATATTTAAATCTTTACTTTAACAGAACTATCCATTGTGATATTTTAAATAATATTTTTAAAGCGCTTGGTATTGGCTGTGTCCGAGCATTTGATGGTGATAATTTTTCGTATGACTGTTTCGCTGACCTTGCACCTGTGCTGCACCAGCTGCACAATATCGCTGACCTTCAGCGGATCTAGTATATAATCCGTGGACCGCATGCGGCCCATTGAGCCTAGCTTTATGCCCGAAATATTCCTCGTGGCCAGTGTCTGCTTGTCAAAGACTGCGTCCAATAGAGCCCGCGTGGCCAGTGAGTAACAGTCCCAATTTATACGCTGATAGGCGGCCCGATCGACTCTGGTCAGGTTGGGGCCAATAAAGATTGTTGATCTTTCTTTTTTGCTGTGCAGCTTTATTTGTTCAGGTATGGGTTTTGGCAAAAACTGCACCTCACGATTCGCTGCCAAGTCGGCGTATTCGGGCAAGGCGCTTTTCAGTTCTTCCAAGCGCAATTGTATAGCTGCCAGACGATCCGCGGGCTCCGTTTGTGTCGCTCGAGATATAACCGACATGGCAGTTGCACTGAAAGTGAAATCTAATCTAAGAAACATCTGTACAAACACATACGCCAGCGCTTACCTAAGATGGCGTAACTCTTTAAACTGAGCAAACCGATTTGCAAGTTGTAGTTCATGTGGAACGATGGAATGAAACATATCGATATGTCGATAAATATTATGATGATTCTAAGCATATTAGCACGAAAAACAAATGTGCGCAAAAATTGTTAGTTAATGTGAGTAAAGCTTGGGCTGGTGGACCCATGAGGTTGTGCGGTTCTCTTTGTTGTATGGCCTAAAATGGAAACGCGAAGCAGCTTGCGCTTCATGCACTCGGAGGAGGAGGAAGACGAGGACCAATTGAAACGAATATCCATGTGCTTTAGTATTGACATCTCGGAGGTTGTACAAAATCGTAACAATAATTTCAACAATGTCGTTACACCAGATCAAAATGGTGAGTTAAACCATATATCAAAGCTTGGACACTCCATGCTTCATAGATTGATTGCATTTTAGGGCGAAATCCAGGCGGAGGTCTATTTGGAGCTGTAGAAGATAAATGCAATAATGATAGTTCGATGTCTTGTGCGGTGCCAAACAAATTTTTTGCCGAAAGTCGTAGTTTTTTGAGTGGGTTCGACAAATATCATAGACGGTTAAATGCAACACGTAGGAGGTCAACTATGAGTTTCGATCACCTTAGCTATAAACAAGATAACAAAAGTCTAAGGGAACCGCCCTACAAGCCTGAGCGTTATCCAAAGTACAATAATAAACATACAAATCAATTGCCGCACAGGCGAAATCTCATGGAGTCTTACGAATGCCCAAGCCGATTAAACTTGAACTCGTATGAAAGAAATTATAATTCTGCAAATTATAAGCCAAACAATGAACGGACTCATAGAAAACCTAAACGAGAGCTATTACAAGAAACGTTAAAGGAACCATTCGAACTTGGCTATAATAGAGAGCGCACTCGGGAAAGGGATCATTCAAGGAAGGTGCGACACGAAAAGTACTATGAAGGAAATAATAACTTTTACAATGCTTTTTATAACTGCGACTTTCCGACAAAAGTGACTGATAAATCATACAAATTGAATCCCTCTGGGCATAATGAGTATACTCATAACAAGCTATTGAACAAAGCTCCTTATAAAGAAAAGAGGCAGGCTTCTGGTTATACCGATCCTAATTATGTGGCAGCCTATAACTACTATAATCCCGAGCCAATGTATTCACCAGTACATTACGGTTCAGAGTGGGACTTTTATCACAATGCAGCAATTCCAAACGCTGGAAAATACTATTACCCAAAGCCTAATAGGTATAATAATTATGAGTATGATTATGATTGTTATGAAGATCCGGAGATGTATAGATTTCCACCCGTTCGAAGGAAATCTGTTGATTTTTTCCCTAATGATTGTGAGATACCATATAACATATTAAAAAAAGCAAGAAAATGTGCAGCAATGCCCAAACAAAGATATGGATATCCAGAATACGAATTATGCTCTCGTGCTTCGGCTGTTGAAATCCCATATAAGAGAATGAAGCGAAAATATATTTCAAGCTTTGATTATGAGCCGGAGCTTAAGTGCTCAGACTCGGGTTGTGATATCTATAGCATGACCTATCCACAAGGGCCGGTCAAAACATACATAGAGCCTTGGCCGCCAAGTAGCTGTCAGAAGTCGTGCCATGGTTATAATCCTTTAACTCGGCCCAGTCATTCCCAGTTTTGTGATGTGCCTCGAAAATGCAACCAGAAGTCGCTAAAGCAAAAAGTTTCTGGATTTTTTAAGCGGTCGAAATGCAAGTCTCGGATAAAATGTTGCCGGAGGCACAATCTGCGATACTGTTGCCCGGTTGAGGCTTCAGTCTGCAATCTGAACCGTATGCATAGTAAACCCTGCGTTGATTGCTGCAATTCCTTCAGCAGCATATCATGTGGCGTTAGGTGTGGGCGGTACCCAAACTGCCCCATTAAACCCAGCTGTTGCGGCACATCGATCCGGAAAACAAGATGCGCCGCTTACCCAACGGTATACAAAAACAGATGCCTGAAGAGATGTGGTGACGAACTGTCCTGCATGTCATGCACCAATTATCTTCCGAAGGTAAATAACTCTAAGTTTGAGTGTGAAAACAGGGGAGTTTCTAAATGCTGCAGTGAATATTGCAGAAATTTGGACGAGCCATCGTGTCAAGGTGCTGTTTTTCTTCAAAAAGCAGCATGTGTTGAGGCAACCGGCTCTTGTGGATCTGCCGATAAGGATATTGCCCCAATCCGTTGTTGCTGTGCTAATAACAATGCAGATAACGATCTTGGATGCGGCACTTATAGCTGCCAAAATAATGTTAAGGAACCTACACCTTGTTGCTTCCCGAAGGTTGACGCACGGAAATCTTGTTGCTCCATCTGTTCCAAAAAGGAAACTCCTACTGTGCCTAGTACAATAAATTTACACCTAACTATTTGCACCACCAGCGGAAACTTGGTCGAACCGCCCAAAATCACAACCACATTGGTCGAACCCGTTTGCAAAACAAGCAGTGTAGCAAAATGCCAATTGAAGTCGAGTGCAGACAAATGTCACTTGGAGTCGAAATGCCATAGTGGAACAAGATGCCAGTTGGCTTCAAGAATCAACAGTTGCGTTGCAGTATCGGATATGCCCAAGCCATGCTGCTCCCTCACAAAATTACCTTGTTGTCCCAGTGGAATAATATCGTCATGTAAGAAGCCTTCATTATCGGAACAGCCCAACTGCGCCAGCTCTTGCCATAAGATACCTTCGACTTGTGCCATTAAAACGAACTCTGCATGCAACCCCGTGTGTTCGGGAAGCAAGTGTAACTTAAGCATGTCAAGACCCCCATTACCCTGTAACTCTAGAAGCAACTGTAGAGTTACCGTGTCGGAGTCGATTCCACCTTCGCCTTGTTTAAGCCGTACGAGTATCGCTTGTACGGAAAATGACTTTATGAGCGTGCGCTGCAATCAATCAAAACCTAATACTCCTAAAACCAGCACTACCTGCATAAAGACCATCATAACGCCAAAGCCTATACTTTCCACAGCCAAATGCGAGCAACCGAAGACTGGATGTAAGAAAGCCAGTACCATATCTTTTAACATAATTGAGCCAAATCAACCATGCAAAAGAAATGTCTGTGATAGTCCTGCTTTTCTGGAAAGCACACCATATAGGGGCAGAGCTATGCAGTGCGGAGTCGGAGCAGGCCACTGTCTCAATGCCTGCCGAGCAGAAGAGTCGTGTTGCTGTAAATGTTTAAACGAAGTACAACCGTGTAAATCGGTTGCGCATTGCACTCTAAATTCTCCACCAGCAACTGCGCCATGCTATAACAAGGTAGAATTGCTCTGCACTGCAAATCCCCTGTGGAAAAATCAGGAAGCATGCGGAAATTTGTGCTGTCCGAAGCTGAGCAGTGATCAGCCTGCGAATTGTGATTGCCGTCCATCATATGTGGAGGATCTGAAGAGAGAACTTCTGGATGCGTTGAGGAGCGAGCAACGATTAAATGCTCAACTACAATTTCAGCAGCCAACGCCGCAAATTAGTTTGTTCCCATGTGTTCCAGAGGCCCAGTCATGCCCCATATGCCCAACACATGTCAACTCATGCTGCCTTGCGGAACCCGGCCTGAAATGCTGGGCACCGCTCTAATCTGAGCCATGCCAACGATACGAATAACTTGGAGACCCAAAACAATTGTACTTTACGAAAGTATAGCAAAGCATTTATTAGAAAATAAAGTCATCCCCATTTTGAGCTGAGGTAGGTGAGAAAGATATAATCCAAAATTTGACTGCAGCTTAGTCACCTGTCGCCTTTAATGGAGCCTGTATGGTCAGAATACCATTGATGGCCATTTTAGCGCTCAGATCGATTTCAACAATGTCTGGTAACAGGAACTTTCTGTAGACCTCCATAAACTGACCCTTCTGCTTGCGATAGGCTTGCAGTTTGATGCATTTATTCTTAAGCTCCAGTTTGATGTTTTTCACTGGAAACTCGCTCATGTCGAATTTCCAAATTAAATGCGTCTCGGTCCTCATATAGTTGATGAACATATCTTGATTCTCCAGAAATTGTTTCTCCTTCTTTAGCTTATTAAGTTCTCGGCAACAATCAAGAACCTCCTGCTCCAGTTGCTGTATACGTCTCTCGTGGCTGGAACGCATAACGTCGAAATGCAGCGGCATAGTGAAAACGTTGAAAGTGAGAACGCCTGCAAACGCAACGATACGATAAATACTGACGATAAAAACAATCGATAATTTTGTGAAACAAACGGAAACGATAGAGAAAGCAGCTGCAACTCTGTTGAGCAACAGAGAGAAACAAACAAAAAGCGTGCAAATTGGACAAATCTCTGCCTCCCTTCCACTTACCATGTTTGGCCAGCCGACTAGTAATGGGAGCGAGGATGTCGTTTATATACGCCAATACCGCATCATCAACAAAATTGGCAACGGCACCTTTGGCGACATCTTCATGGCCGAGGACGAGACCGATGGCCGGCGCGTAGCACTCAAACTGGAGCACACTGGGGCGAATCATCCGCAGCTACTTTTTGAGTTCAAACTATATAAATTTCTGCTTTCGGGCATTGGGATACCGCGTGTGTATGATTATTTTACTGAGCCCAAATACAATGTGATGGTCATGGAGCTGCTCGGCCCATCGTTGGAGGATCTGTTCAACTATTGTTCGCGCCGCTTCTCACTGAAGACGGTGCTCATGCTGGCATTCCAGATGATCGAACGGATTGAGTTTGTGCATCAGAAGAGCTTTCTGCATCGCGACATCAAGCCCGATAACTTTGCGATGGGCGTCGGGAACTATAACAATCAATTGTACATCATTGACTTCGGTCTGGCAAAAAGATACTACGACTCCGCACTGAACGAGCATATACCCTTCAAGTGGGGCAACAGGATGACGGGCACCGCACGCTACGCCTCGATCAATGCACTGCTGGGCTTTGAGCTAGCCCGACGCGATGATATGGAGGCTCTGGGCTATGTGCTCATATACTTTCTGCGTGGCAGCTTGCCCTGGCAGGGCTTATCGGGGCCGAAACATCAGAAGTACGAGATGTTGGCCGAGAAAAAACAGTCAATCAAGCCGGAGGAGCTTTGCAAGGGCTTTCCGGATGAGTTCGCCTCGTACCTGATCTATTGTCGCAATATTAGATTCGAGAAACAACCGAACTATCTGGGACTGCGGCGCAGCTTCAGCGATTTATTTAATCGCCTTAAATATGTGAACGATGGTGTTTATGACTGGCATACAATACAATCAATTAAGGATCAGAGCAATAACGAGAATAAGGCGATTGACGACGAGGAGGAGGCTGACGAGTCTGCTTATAATTGATTTTTGCATATAATTATATTCTGAATCTTTTACAAAGAAAGAGAGTGTGTGTATTGTAATAAATGAGGACTTTTCCTTTAGCCAGGATTTTCTGGTTGCAATCCATTTTACAGCCTGTCAAACGTCCGAGCTGCCAATCCGAAATAGACAATTCCAACTTTTCTAAAATGAGTCCAATTAACACAACTCAGATTTGTGCAACGTTTGCATTTAGTGTGTGTGTGTGGATGGGTCGGCGTCCTGGTCATGCACAGGACTCGAAGCAACTGCCAGAAATGTCTGTCAGGGCCAACATTGGAGCTGGAGCCGGAGCATTCGTAGCAAATGAAAACGTTGTAAATGGCAGCATCCAATTTACGTTTGCAATTAAACTGACACCGAACAGACACTTTTGATTTAGCTTGCAGTTCTCCGACTGTCCAATCCGAAACCCCGCCCACCCAGCTCCATTGGGACCTGGCTGCACATAACACGGCATAATAGCAGCAGATCTGCTTGAACCCAATCTCGCCCATAAAACGTCAATTGCTCACAGTTTATCAGTATGAAGATTTATTAAAATGTATGTTTAGGCACACACACACACACATTACATCCAGCTGTGGTATGATTCTTCCAGTTGGGTGTGGTTTCGGCTTCCTCGACAGGCAGGCAGGGTTGTCTCCAATACGACAACCATTCGGCGGCATCTGAAGATGTTTGTATAATCGGCCATATTTTTATAAATGTACTAGTCTGTTGTTATTTTTTATTAAATTTTGATCTCAATTTTATTTCTGTAGGCTTACGAAAAGTTAACTAAAAGTTAATTGAGCTTTAGATCAACTCAACGCACGGCCAACTCACAAATCATGTCAAGAGTGAAAACATTTTGTGCTAACAGTCCCTGCCTGGCTTGCCACAACACAAGTGTGTAAAGAAAATAGGGTGTAAGGCGCTGAAAAAACAATTGCATGCAGCACAAGAGCAAGGTTTGAATACCCTGTAAATGTATAGGTGAAGAGGGTATCTTGAAGATTGGTATGCAAGGGACGTAAAATAAAACAGGCACTGCGTAAAAATTTTTAAAAAATTTCTCGTTGCCTAACTATGCCAGAGACAGTTCGAATCCAAGAAAGGGAACTAGGGAATGTCGAAGTAATTAAAAAAAAAAAAAAACAATGAAAAGATTAACCTTTTCCATTATGTTTATATTTTGAATATATTATTATCTAAAATATTAATTTTTACATTTTCATTTATTGAATGGGTTTACTTTATTTGAAATCGATCACTATATGATAATCAGAAAAATATAAAAATATATGTTAGCATATTAAAATCTCTCTAAAGTTATGTGCACAGGGTATTTGCTCGTTATGCATTCTAGTTGCATTGCAAGTTTGTTCTCTATTTTTTTTTTTTTGTTGATGCACATAATTACATGAAAAAAGAAAACTAGTGTCGAGATTTGCGCTTTTGAGCATCTCACCAGGTGAAAACTTTTAATGAGCATTTTCTTACAAATTTCCAAGTGTTGCCGCATTTAATTTTTTAATTAAAATTTTTCGTATCACGCTTGGGATGCCAACTTGCAGCAATTCCCCCTGACAACACGACAGCCAACCCTTAAGTTGAAATATATTTTTCAAACTGACCGCCTGGCAATAGCAGAAAATACGAGCATACTTAGACAGGTGGGCTAACTGGCTTCACACTTTCAGCATCAATCAGGGCAAGGCCTGCCTGAAGAGCTGCTCGCTGTGTGTTTATATTTATCGGGCAGGACCCCATGTTAATGGCCAATTGACACGCCACTTGGCTTTGACGGGCGTGTAGCAAACCCGCTTCGACGGATACAGCAAGAGCCACTGGGCTGGCCGCAGAAGACGAAATGTTTTTGCTGCCACGCTTAACATAAGTGTGTGTGTGTGTGTGTGTGTGTGTGTATGGGTATGGGTGTATGGGCTGGTCAGCAAAGGATTTGGCTGCCTGCACCCTTCCTGTCTTAGAGCCTATAATGAGGTGCTAACTGAGCGTGCTGATTGCTGCCATTTTTTGATAAGGTGTCCGTATTAATATTTCTCTTGCGTTTGTTCACACCGTTTCGAGCAGCCCTAAACAGTTAGCATTTTTCTAAAGGTGTGTGCATAGATAAGCCAAAAGTCGTCTGGATATGCCGAATTTACAACTGAATGTCAGGTTAATTAACAGGGTATGGAAGGAAGGAATATTAAACATTTTTAATTTTACTTCGAGTTTAACTATTTTGATTAATTTAATATTCGTTGACCGATGTCTACTTGATTTTACTTCGAATAATATTTGTAGTCTGAAATCTTAATTATTATTTATAAATTGATTTGTCACAGTTATTCTTATATCAAGTATATATTTTTCTGCCACGCACATTAGAAATAGAATCTGGGTCTTTTCAATTTCCACCATGTGTTCTGTTTTCATAAGTTCTCTATGCTGACTACAAGTTGTTTAACATTTAAAAGTTTTCTTTAAGATATGAACTTAATTGTTGTTTTAAATATCTTAAATCCCATATTTGATTGTGTACATATTTTGTGGTTGTGCGTAGTGTTATATTACTCATTATGCTAGGAATGAAACTTAGACTCGTTTCAATTGAATTCAATTGATTATTGATTAGTATTTTTGCTTGCATATTGACATCAAAATACATTACAGACTGCAAATTGAATTGCCCGTCGTCAATAAAACATTGCATTTCCCTGCAGTCGCAGGACCACGCCTTATATTCGTATATGTGTGTACATGCATGTGTGTGTATCACAGTTCAAAAGGCATTGGGGACTGGCAGCGTTGCAAAAGAAATGTGCACAAATTGCACTTATAAATAAATCAAATAAAAATATCTTGTTATTATGGTAGAATGGCACACTTGCTGTCTTCTCCTTGCTGTTGGCCTGCATCCTTATTGCAGTGGTTTCCAGCGCAATATTGCGTTCCAAATTGAGTTACATTTAAATATTTTGCCATTTGCAACTGCCACGTCCTTATGCACGAGCACCACTCCAACACACTCACTCCACTCCAGTCCACAGCCTGCCCGCTTCATTCCACTTCAGTTCCAGCTTAGTTATGCATGTGTGCGCAATGTTCAAATAGTTTTCGTTGCCAATTTTCATCTTCTAGTAGTTAGAGTCGATTGCTTATCAAAATGCATAGAGGAGGCAGCAATAAGTACTGAGAATTGTAAATACCCGATTGTATATAATATGCACATTCACAAAGCGTATATGCTGTCAGGTGTTAGCCGCTTTTCCCGGGCCAAAAGTTCACCCCCTTCCAACGTTTTTAAATTGTGTACATAAAGAAACCCAACAGCTTAAGCGATTCGAAAGCTTTCCGTTTACTTATCAACCTAATATGTGGAATAGAATAAAATAATAATAATACAAATTTCACAAATATTAAATGCAGTTAAATGTAGAACATTCTGGCTCTCGCTAACAGATACGTAAACATCCCGATAGATTAGCACGGCTAAATCGAATCGAACGGAGGGATACCAGTATATTAATTTCCCGTAGGTAAAGCTTAAGCCCATACTGCCCGGAGCCGGGTGAAATGTTTAATGGCATTCACTTAATTCGTATAATTTCGATTTCCTTTCGTGCATCGAATGGCCAACAGGGCGGATAATTGATTTCATTTCCGCGCCTGCCACGAAAGCTTAAGCAATAAATTGAAAACTACACAGTGCCCCCGCCACGGCTGAGAACTTGAAAATTGTGCGATAAGATCAGAAATAAATTTGCATAAAATGCATTTAGATTGGCCACAAAACAAGCCGCAGCCAACACGAAGCGAACGCAAATCCGAAACCCCAACCCAAAGCGAGCCAAACTTTTCACGGATAGCAAAATGCAAAAAGCGGTTGCAAATAACTCGCAGAAAATTGTTAGCAGTGCCCAGTGATTAATTATCTACATGAAAGCGCGCTATTTACAGCTTTACCTGATCCTCCTCACGCCCCCACCCCGTAGGATTTGTGTGTTTATGGAGTGTTTAGTTTTGTGCTACTGATGTGAGCTTGGATAAACCAAGTGGAGGTATGCCAAATGCCATTGCTGCTGATTTCCATAGCACACTTTATCTAAATTAAAATCAGAACTTCGCCAGCTCTATTGCCAGACACAGCAGGAACTTGATTTAGCAAACTTCGTTATACCCTATATAACGCAGCATAACGAGTAGTATAAGCAAGGCATCAAGTCGCATAAAAAAGTAGCCCACTCGGATTCCACTTATCAAAAATTCACCATAAACAGAATCGAAACAAAATACAGAACTTTTAAGCAAGACTCAGCCTCAAAGCATGATCAAGTTTAACCAGGATCAGGAAGCGAATCAAAAGGCAGGGAGTTGGCTCGACCCATTAACCGCGGCGTCGACTAACTAAAAAAAGGGTTATACGATTATGCATGCATACTTTTAAGCTCTCCTGCCAATTTCCTAGTAATCAGATGTTAAGCCTTGACACAGAATATCACCAAGTCAAGCACTCTGGCCTAGCCTGACTTTGCTCTGGTCTCACTAGCCATATCATCAAAGGCTAATATCTAGCTTCTGGCACTGGGCAGTAAATGTAGTTGCGGCTTATGAAATGTTGACCCGAAATGACTTTTGTCTGCGCCATCAGATGATGTCACTGTCGTCTGGCGAACGTGAACGTGAACGTTTCGCTAAGTACGACCCCAGAGTCAATGGCTGAGCAGAGTCCTTTGGCAAGGACAACGCGGCCGCCGAAACGCTGCCATGACGTCTGCAGGTAAATTGTGTGTGTACGAGTATTTCAATTTAGCCAGCGTATAAATTGCCGGCAATAAAGTAGAAAAAAGTGTAATTTGTTTGGCTCGTTTGTTCTGTGTGTCATATCTGTTAGAATGTATCTGCAGCCCGGCAGTCATCCCACTCCCCTACCTACTAGCCCCTGCCCTGTGCGGTGTCCTTGTGTCTGCGCCTGAGCGATGAGATTCTTATTTTAATTTTGATTATGTGCCTCTGCCGCCTGTCGGAAATGAACGCATTCTCAGCGGATTTCTATCTGCCAGTTACATTTACAAATTGCCCAACGCATTACCCCAGCCAACCAGTTCAGCCCCTTTCCCCGTAGACAGATTGAGCTGTACACACACACGCACACATTAAAGCGCATTTCTTGAAGTTTTTGCCCACACAAATAAATGGCCACTTAGCCCAATACAAATGCAACGTGATGCCGTTAAGTCGATGCTTTTAGCATTTGATTGACACGTGAATGCCCCAACAACAACAACAAGAACAACAACATGAAATACTTGAAATTGCTGGCCACTTAGCAACGCATAAATACCAAGCATCTATTAAGGGACGAGGAGGAGGAGGTCAGAGAGGCAGAGTCCGTATTTGTGAATAGTCAAGAAACCAGTGCGAAAATACCAGACAAATGGCATACGTGCAAATTGAGGTTATGTTTGACAACTTTTATTAGATTTAATTGGAGAAACAACTTCAAATATACGGTTACCTAACACTATTCAATTGTTCACTTATATAAGACATCAGCTTGCCCCTATCGCAAAATATACAGTGTAAGAGCAGAAACTATGCAAGCGTATAAACTAGTTGAGAATTAGAGCTAAGGGTGGGACAGCTTGCATCGGACTTAATGAGTAAATCGATTACAAGCAAAATGCTTATCTGCCTCTATACAATTATCCAATCAAGTACATCAAATGCAACACAGGCCAGCTTGCAAATGTCCTACAATCTATCTAAGGAAATTAGCAGCTGTGTATGCGCTTAAGCCAGTTGAGAATCATAGCATGTATGGTATGCATAGATACATAACAGTATTTTTTTTCCTTTTTAAACATTTTCTGTCAGTTGGTAACTGTAAGTACATTTGAGCTGTTCTCTGAACCTATTGAGAGCCCACAGAGGTAAAAGTGTATAATGGCTAAAATGTAAAAGGGGCAGTAGCGAGCACATTCCACAGGCTGAGGTATATCTACTCTTACAAGAACAGGACCCATAATTATTGTAAGATACAATTGATAAGAGAAAAATAAAACAAAACAAAATATATATAATAGCTTGATTAATACCTGTTTTTAAATGTAATTTTTAAAGAAGAAACAAATGTTTATATATTCAATTTATTGGCTTTAATAATGTTCACCTGGAATAGTATTTGCAGTTGCTCTGCTCCTTTTTTTGAAACTCAAAACTCAAGGAGCTATTTAAATTCTAAGCAGCTACTCCAGAGATCAGACCCAAAAAATATGATAACTCACTGAACATGCGTTCATGTAGTCGTTTCCAGTTCATGAATACAATGAAATATCATGGGAGACAACATATTGGTCCTTAGAATATAAGCACATACTCGAAAAACATTAAATACACACACACACACATAAGCAGTTAAACAGCATGTGGCGTAAGGAACGGTCGTTTGAACGGTCATTTCCTGGATAAAAAGGTTCGGGGTTAACATCTTATGGGCCAGAATGGGAAGCAGTTAGCATAATGTCGGCACTGCTGGCAACTTTACAATGGCCAACTTGTGCCCCATTAACCAAAAAGTGAAAACAAGCGCAAGACATGCGAAACGCTTATTAAAACGATACTTCAGTTTCTGTTACCCCAACCCTGGTGTTCATGAACTACAGGATATGCGACACATCCTGCGGTGGTGCAGAAGCTAAGGTAATTTAGATTGTGACTGCCGCTGGCAGGCTGACTTCCAGACCCTGAGACCCAGACTGACATGCAGGTTAAATAGATTAAGGATATCGCTTACCAGTAAGTGTCGGGCTAAGGGGCCGCCTTACACCTGCCGCCAACTAAGCGAAACTGAAAGTAATTGCCAAATATTGAGACAACAACAACTCAACGCGACCAACAAAACGTGGGCGCTTCGAGCCAAGTTCCTTTACCAACACACAACAAATTGAATTATTAATGGTGTTGTCATTGGCATTGGATGCGGCTCGTTGAAAGTTGGCCGCGACTTTAACCTGCTCGTTAAGCGGCCCCCAAAATGGAAACTTGTTTGTCCAGCAATACAATTAAGTTGTCAGTCATCGCCGCCTTCAGCTGCCCTCCCACAAAGTGGGCCCCAACAAGCATGAGAAGCTGATTTTCGACCTTGCCCATAAGTATTTATAATGTTGTTGTCCGGGGCGTGGCGGCTGAGGCTTCATTTTGGTTTTGCGGTGATGAGCTATGAAAGTGATTTCTGGCGAGTAAATACAAATGAAAAGCAAGCAAACTAAGCTGTAGTAAAATATTAGCACGGCTCTTGATACTAAGCACAGCTAGAGGCAGGTAAACTGCCAAAGTAATACCAAAAAAAAGTCAAGAAAAAACACAAAAAAGGCGTTCAAGTGCCATCTAGAAAAACACTAATGAATGATAGCATGACTTAATTAAATTATTGGCTAAGAGAACTTGGTCGGTCCTTTGCCTGTCTGACAACTTTCACTGTTTTTTGGTGTCATAAAAAACATCTACAGAAGCCCAAACACAAATGATACAAATATTTTCTCCCCTAGCTTTGCTCGGTGATTACAGAAAGAGCATGTCTTATAAAGATAAATATTAATCGCTTTAAGCTTTGAGAAGGTCGCTTTAAGGAAACGGTCAATCAGGTCTGGCTGTATACCGGTTAATTATGCTTCCTGAACGTCTTCTAATACGGAAGCTAACTAGGAGAAAAAAATCCATATGCCTTAAAATTTCAGAAAAAATTAAAACCAATTTGCTAGACCGTTTAGCACAGCATTTTAAATGATTTATTTTATACGCTTCGAATAAGCAAGCATTTTATTGTTAAAATCTATCAATAAATAAAAAAGTTAGACTTTTAAATTAATATGCTTAGGATCCATTTTTATAAAGTTGAACAGACCTTACTGTTGAGCAACTACTTTTATTTAGAGACTAAAACATGTACATATATATATTTGTAATATGTTCGATAATATATTTGTATGGGATATCTCATTGTCGAACTAGTGGTAGTCTTCTGGATTGCCTTAAAAATATGAAACAATGTTTTATTTTCATAAAAATCAGCTTTTTTCGTCGGATTCGATGTCAACCGTTGTCGTTGGCGTCATTTCTTTAATTAATAAATTCAATATTTATGTTCGTCAAACGTGATAAACAAATTGCCACCGCTGTCAGATACGCAAATGGTTGGTCGACTCGCGGGAGTCCATTTGAATGCCGCTCCCATTGGGCGGACCTTGGGCCATGTGTTGTCTTATGGGCAATGACCATCGATTGACATTTTTATGTCGCCTGACACTTAACTTTATTAATTTTTGCTGCACTGCGTCTAAGTTTTAATCACTTTCGCCCTTGGCCCCTGGCAAATGACGTGACATCAAATTTTTATTTCACGATGAGTCCGTGCGTTGGCTTCTGCTTCTGCTTCTGCTTCTGCTTCTTCTTCGGCGTCTGTTTCTGTTTTAGCCAGCTTTATGGGCTCATTTGTCGCTGGGCCACATAAAATACAAATTTAATTACGCAACAAGGGAAACCAATTTACGTGTAGTTTGCCTGCTGTCAGGCGTCCATTTAAAGTTGGACTTGTATGCATAAATTGATCGACTTTATATAGCCATTGGGGTTATTTGTGTTGCTCTTTCATTAAAAATGCAAATTTTAAGCACTAACTTGAAGCATTCTACAAAGGCGCGATTACGCAGTTCAAGTGGCAAACATTGTTGTTGTTTAGGCGCTGTGGTTGTGGCAGGGAAGGGGACAGGGAGAGCGGCAGGTTAAGGTAAACTCGCATAGGCACGGCAAGGCAAGGCACGGCACGGCACTCTGGCTGCCTGCGGGCCACAATTGCTGGGGCGACAGAAGTTATCTTCAAGTGGCCACTCGTCTGTACATGTTGCCAAACAGGCAGCCGGGCTCACAAAGGCGAACGTGCCAAGTGTGCCAGCTGCAGGAGACCTCATCCTAACACCCCAAACACTTGACAAAATGCACCTAGAGCAAACAATGGACAAATGTGCGACAGGCGAGAGAATCCACATCCTCACACACCCACATCTTAAGGGGGCAAATGCATTTAGATGATGTCTGCTGCTGCGTGTTTTGATTCTACGCGTGTGTACGAGTTTGTGTGTGTGTGTGTGTTTGGCTGGGACTGTTGTAATACGATGTTTATGTGCTTGCAACTGCTATTAACCTAATGTCAACGCCGCAGTTGCGATTATGTTTGCACTGTATTTCATTTGCATGTGCCACGAGGCCCAGTTAATATCCGGCAACGTGACGGAGCTTGTGATACAGCCAATTCATAGAGTTTAATGACATCCAAAGTTTAAGATTAACCTATTCCTCTTTCCCGGCTTCCTAAGGGCATTGCATTTTGAAAACGTGTTACCACAGAGATATGTATATTTAAGCCTATTAAGGACACAAGCTGCCAAAGCGAACTGTCTTGCTGTTAAAACTATATTAAGTTTGGGGATTTTGATTTGTATAGCCTTAATAATCTTAGAACTATTCTCTGAAAGCCTTTAGCGATGCTATGTGAATTAGAGGCGATGTCAAACGGACAAACACCGTCTGTGTAGAATATAGAATAATATATATCCAGAACTTGAAAGATCGACATATTATATCGATGTAATGGGGTAGAAGATGCTCCTTCCTGCTTCTTCGATTTTCATCTACATACGTTCAAAGAGTTGTTTTCCCACATCGACCACAGACAAAATCACAAAATCTTCTACATTATGAATTATGTTATTACTTTATAATACTGAAAGCACTTTAAGAGCTTTACAAACTCTTGGCAGACGTTCGGTTAAATGCCAATATTTTTCATATGTCAATTTTCTAGGCTTTTGATGGCGCACATTTCGAGCAGTAAATTATGAATTTGAGGCATAGGCGAATGCATCGTAATATTAAAATTGAACACGTACGGAACGTGAGTCAACTGACAGCAGCGCAGACATCGAAGCTGTGAAGTGGGCCAATAATATGGGGAATAGTTTCAGCCCAAATGCCTTTCAACAAATGTCACTCTTCTTCTTCTATTTTTTATTTTTTTTGGGCATTTATGTCTAGGCCCCAAGCACTTTGTATGACGCACATTTTTGCAATCATAAAACCGGGTACATAAAAATGGGTAAATAAATACTAAAAGCCAACTTGAGCAGCAAAATTCGAAACGACTATATACTCAATTATTTATTTATCTCAGCGCCTGTAAGCCTAAGTATATGGAGCGATATTTCTAACTAAAAACTAAATCTAACTGGAAACTTAAAAAAAAATTTTAAGTAGCTCCATTACAGTTTTTTAAATTCTTCTTAAAATTGTTGTAGAAGATCTTATGATCTTATTAATCAAGCTCTTTTCTGTACTCAAAGAAACATGTACAGGATATCTTATAGTTGGAATAAAGCGTTTTGGGCGCTTCTTTTTTGTGTGGACCATTTTATTAATAAACATACTTATTTGTGCTACCAATTCATGTGTAGTTGAGGTCAAAACCAGGCCACATGAAATATTAAAAGGCCACGACGCAAATGTGGATTATGTGAGGCTCTAGTGCTCTCAGTGCTCGGTTCGTTTAGTTTTAGTTTTTGGCTGGCATGCACAATAAATTGTATTTAAAATGAAAGAAGCATCTACAACTGCTCCATATTCTGGGCACGTGCGAATTCATTCTGATCTCCTGACATGGCAGCAGGCAGTCAGCCAGGAGGCAGCCGGCACCCGGCAGCCGGTAGCAGGCAGCAGGCAGGACGACACGATGTTTGCCTTTTGACGTTTACAAATTACCCACAGCTGGCACAGCAAATGCCAAAGCATTGTGTGTCCTGGGTGCTATATTAAACGTACATATGTTTAAAGCCACCTAAGACAGCCAAAACGGCTCACTCCGCGCCCTGCTCCGTCCCCTGCTTTATGTCAAAACAAGTACAAACATGTGGCACTTACATTTCTCACTGTATGTGTGTGTGTGTGAGTCCTTGTGAATGAATGGTTGCTTCTTTATCCCCGTCCCTGCGCTGTCCGCCCGCAGTTAGTTTTGTTTTTTGCATGCATAATTCATCGGGCCTTGGATCTCATCAAATTGAGCGACCTCGTTAGACACATAAAACGTTGTCAAAATTGTCTACAGGCAAAACATTTGTTATTTCAATTATTTAAATGTAATTTTCCAAATTGTACTTTTCCGCTCAAAATTCTAAACAATCACAAATACTCCTATGCATATGTCCGTTTCCCATATGATATGCGAGGGCTGGCTGAAAAGATTTCAATTAAACCAGCAAAACGCAGAACGGACTTTTATTTATATGATTAATTAGTCTTTAGATTAGGCATTTTACTAAATTCAATCTGGTAAATTTTATTTAATTAAACAACAACAAAAATGTATATTTATTCTGCAATTTACTTAATTAATACAGAAAGCTCTTAGCAATCTTTGCAATACAAAATATTTTGACTTGTGTCAAATACTTCTCCGTTAGCCCCAGTATAATCTATGTTTTATTTAGAACTTGCAGCCCGAGAAATAATTGAAATAATTGATTCTTTAATTGTCTGCAGGTTGAGTTTTCAGCGTTTTTGTCTTAATTATTTAATGGCCTCAACTTGCGCTGCGATAAAAAAAAAGAAAAGAGAAAAAATAAATAAAAAATTAAATGCTTTTGTTGATACGTTTATTCGTTTTCGCTCTGTGTGAAGGTCCTCGGCTTATTTAACGTTTCAAATATTTTAATTGCGAGTCAACTCTTTTGATTTTTCAACACACCAAAGAAACATTCCTCAAGGACCAGTGCCAAGTGGCAATTATGTCCTCACCCAGTCGCTGAGTGTGCACTCAAATTGGCAAAAGGAGCGCTCCTTGCTTGTTGTTGTCGGTCGTCGGTTGTTGCCTGTTGGCTGTTGGCTGTTGGCTGCTGGTGTTGCCAGTTGGTGTTGCATGTTGACAAGGCCCAAATGCATTTAATTTCTTAAAGAGGCGCGTAATTAGTTTGCCGCTGCACCGACGAGTGCTACACACAGGCACACACACACACAACCGAATAATATAATACTGGGTACCGTACACGTGCTTATACTCATACTCATACCCATGCTCATGCCGGCACTCAAAGTCGTGCTTATATTATGTAGCATAATTCGAGGCGCCTCTGCAGTTGACTCGGTTCAGGTTTGGGCTTGGAGTCCTTTGCTCGTTTCCTCGTTGCAACAGCGGCCACTAATGTGCCTCTTTGAGGTTTCGTAATTAATGTTTAATTGCTGCGAAACTTTGCTTGAGGTTAGCCTCGCGGTTTCAACACAAATATGTAATTTTTCTCCAGCGAAGCGTTATTAAAAAGGCTTCTGAATCAGCGCCAATTAAGGCCAACAATGGATTGTAGATGACTAGATATGAGCTCAGCAGCATATGGTATCAGCTCAACTGAAGTTAATTGGCTTGGGAAATTGTGCGTTATCTTACCCAAATTTTTTCTAGACTAAGAATTCTCCCCAAAGGCCAAATCTCAGAATGCACTTGGCATTAGACACATAAAGCAATAAGACTTTTCCCATAAATTAAATCATATACAATAATTAAATAGTTAAAGCGTTAAACACGTCGTATGTGTGATATTTTAAAACATGCAAAATGTTGGATATTTATTTATGGGTGCAGCCCCGGGCACGGTCAAAACGTTTATGCAAAAAGTTTAATCAACAAAACTAAATCGCTTAGAACGTAACTAATTTACGCTGCGGTACATGATGCAAAGTTTGGCCCATTTGCGCATCATAATGATAAAAGTTGGGTATCCCGCGGCCATGCGAAAGGTGTTGCCACGTGGGGTAACTGAAAATAGTCCGAGCTGAAGTTAAAAATATTCACGTAGTCATATAGCGCATGGCGCAGTTGATTAATGCAGTCGAATCGTATCGAGACAAATTGTGGATTAATTTAAAAGGGCTGATCCCATGCAAGAAGAATTTCAATGGACTTTTGCTGTCTTTCGCAAATTGTGAATTCTGAATAGCAAGTGGCAGCGCAGTAAAAGCACTTAAAAAAAAGACAGAGGAGGGGCGAAATGAAGCTGAAGAGCAGTGCACACTTGAATGGCAACATTGAATACGCATACGATCTGAAGTTCACATGTTAATTAAATAGAAAGCCCAAACAGCAGCCGCACAACAGTGCGTATGCGTGATGCGAGCCACTCGTAACCAAACTCAAGTTGAGTCGAGTCGAGTCGAGAGCAGATGAGAACAAAAGGAGGAAACGCTGCCTTTCATATCAATTTGTTTGGTCTACGCATTGAATTGCGGTTTATGGATAAGCACAAGATGAGTAGAGCAACAGCAGCCACTGCACAGGCATCCGACAGATACACAGATAGGCTGTGGGAAAATAGGGAACTGGCAATTGCAATACATTTGAGATTGTGGCCAAGTGCTGCGGGGGCGTGGAGCACGTCGAGTGCTACTCAAAATTTGCAGAATTCATTTATGCAAATGAAGTGGCTTCTATGACGCCGACTCTCAGCATGCACAAGAGAACCGCCAAGCCCAGGCCAGAGCTAAGGGGTTGGCTGCTCTGGAGTAAAAAACAAAAGAAGCCAATGCGAAGACAAGTAATGAATGAAATTTGAGCAGATTATTCAGTTCCTTTTGCGCAACAATTAAACAATTTACGTACATTTTCGAGTACTCTAACATTTTGCCAACTAATTACGCCAGGGATGAGAGCTTTAAGGACCTGCTCAGAATGGACACCCACGGGGAGTCTCTAGCTGTTTTGTTGTTGCCTGAGTTCATTTACGCTGATGAACCTGAGCACAATGCCTGCGGGAGACGAGCACAAGAAATGAATACATAAAGCTCAATTAGTAGTCAGAGTAGTTGCTAAAATGAGAGTGGATAATATAAAGAACTTCATATTTTGTTATTTAATTTGATTAAGGCTTGAAGGCGACACTAAAATACCGGGGGAATAGAGGTAAAATCTATGGAAATTATCGTAGAGCAATAGCAAAGAAATTGAGAATTTTGACTTATCTTTAATTTATCTATTTCATATTTGATATCACAAATAATCTACTCTTGAGTCTTACTGCAGGCCATTTAAATTATTTTTCATATTTAAAGTTGAAAGGCGCTCAAGTAATTATTTACATCAAAAAGAGCAATTGAAATGAACTGTGAAACTAGTTGGCAAAATGCACTTTGCTTAAGTGTCCTTAAGACCTCAAGGATTTCCGCTTGTCAACGCCGAATCGCAGCGAATGTGGACTTAGTGTGGACCAAGAGTAGATCCCAATTCAAAGCTCCGCTCCCAGTTCCCAAATCGCTTTCAAACCTGTGCACACTGATTTCGAACGCCTGACAAATGCATATATGTAGGATTTATATACATACACACATATATATTTATATACATATAATATATGTATATAAATATATATATATATAAATGTGACAAATCTACGTATAATATGCATGTGAATCTGCGGAGCTTTTACTATTCGGCCAGCGGGGATTATGTGCTCAACGGTTGTGCAACTGTCACTAGCATTGAAAAGCCCGAGGCGGGGGCAAGCCCGCCAGGGGGACTGTCACACGAGCGGACAACGACAGTAGCGATGTCAGTTGTTGATTAAATAAAAGAGAAACCATCAAAAAAAAAAAAAAACAGGGGAAAAACGATGCTGAACAAAGGCAAATGCAAAATGAAAACTAAACTAGAAAAAAGTTTACTTTTAACATCGATTCCCAGGGCATTTTTTAGTGCACTGCAACAAATACAATATGAGAAAGGGTGTGTGTGTGTGTGCGTGAGAGAGTGAGAGAGAAAGAGAGAAAGAAAGAGAGGATGGTCGAAATACAGAGTTAAAACCTGCTAGAGTGCAGCGTATAAATAATTCAGGCCGAAATGTCAAACAGCGTCGTCTAAGGATGATTTTTGCGGAAGTTGTTGGCATTCTCGGCTCCTCGCAGCCATCTACAACTTTGCAGCATGAATAAGTAAACCATTGTCTGGGACCACCGGCCCCTCAGCACGATCCCGCTGCCGGTCCCGCTTCCGCATAACCCTGCTGCAACAGCCCTTCATTGTTAAAAAGTTGTTGACGTTGATGCTCTCTACGTGTAAAAAGGTGAACAACATTTGTAGACTCGCAATTGAAGTGACATTTCACACGGCATCCGAACCCCTTCCGCCCTTCTCGCCGTAGTACCCCCCACTCCCTCCCTGCACGGGGGACTCACCGCATCACGTCATCCGTCTGCCAAAGTGACTTCTGGTGACTTGTGCCGCTCACGTCGCAATTATTTGCAGCAAGTTGAAATTTATACCCACAAAACTTTTGCCCCAATCCACACACACACACACACACACACACACTGAATGAATACATCAAACAGCGATAACCATCCCTTGGACCACAACAAAGCCAAAACAAATAATTTCCATCAGGCGCAATTGCTGGGGCGTTTCGCTATGCCACCCCAGAAGTGGAGGTGGGGTTGTTCTCAGCCCCTTTAGGGGTTGCTACTGTTTTGCCGTTGCGTTTCATTACCGAATGTCAGTTTATTAAAAAATTTGTGCCCAAAATTTAATAAAAACATCAGCAAACGACGTCGCAAGAAATCACAACACTTGACGCGCAAAATTCGTACTTTCACCACCCGCCATAAAAATAAGAAAAAGCCACCACCCGTTGGCCTGGCCAGCATCCCCCGTCCGGCGGTCAGAGACTGTGCTATGACGCACCAGATGCCCAGATGCCCATATGCCCAAGCGGGCGTTATATGTATGTGTACATATATTTTTTTTTCGAGCACTTGCCAGGCCACACGTTGAACCGTGGCTCGACATCCCTCAATGTGTTGCCCGCCGGGGGGTTGCTTCCGTTATGCCACCCCCTGCCGCAACCGTTTATTGCCTTTTCTTTGGGTTTTCTTTTTGTTTTTGTTTAGCAACTGTTGCTTCTGTTGCTGGCCATTGTTTTTGTCATTTCTACTGCTGCTGCTTCTGCTGCTGTTGTTGCAATGTGTCGCATCATTAATTTTCTACTGTTATTTGTTTGCAGCCACCCCCAGCCCCTATGGCCACCCTTTTGGAATGTAACTCATATCACGCCTTTGTATCTGCGCCGCCGCTTCCATAAATTTTGATAATGTGTCAATTTATGAATGGCCCCATTGGCGACCGCTTGTCTATTTGACCGAGGGGATTGTCTGCTGTCAGTATATTGATTGTTTTATTGATGACCCCCTAGCACACCCTCCACGACAGAGCCGGGACCTTTCCTCTTACTTTATGCTTTGACAAGTGTATCGAATATTGAGAACTTAATTCTTAGTAGTTTATCATAAACGATTAGCACCTTTTTATCGGCAAGTTTC